GGAGAGTATGACCTGAATATGTTTGAGGAAGTCAAACGAAGCAGTGAGAAGTAAGCGGGGTAAAGTAGAAATATAGAAATGCTGTTATCCAAATGCAATGCATATGAGGAAATAATAACTTGAGAGTTCTACTGCAACACTGCATTTATTTCTTTCATTTTTAAAACAAACACTGTAGTTTTCACTATAGTGTGAGTTTGCTGATGTACACTTCAGGAAAGAAATAACAGCTCAGTGGCAGGTGGAAAATCCATTCAGCATCAATGTTTCCTCTATCTAAAAGCCACAACAGCTAAACCTTCCTCTTTGCTTGCTCTCTGAAACAGGAAACCTCAAACCCCAGATTTAAACTTTGCATTTTTTTTCCTGAATACAAACTTTCATTGAAAGACGACTGGCTCTGAATATTCATCTGCAAACAAAAAGAAAAAAGTCATTCTGTCAAGCTACACTCAGTTTTATTGGTATGGCATTATCTTATGTTTAAACAAATTTGCCCTTGTGGCATGAGTCAGGCTCATTAGCCTATAATACGCGTTCTTGCAAATAAAAATCTGGTCATAGTTCAGGCCTGTCCTGCAAAGATAAACCGACAGGAACATAAAATTAAAAGTAAGACTCCTCTATTGCATAGATAAGAACAATATTTTTCTTTCGCCAATATATTTGGCACACCATTTATTTTTTCTGTCCAGTCACCTGACATATTTTTCATCAGGCTCCTGGATCATGCACACACTGATATTTCCTAGGGTGGTACGGTGGTGTGGTGGTAAGCACCATCACCTCTCAGCAAGAGGGTTCTGGGTTTGAGTCAGGAACTTTCTGTCTGGAGTTTGCATGTTCTCCCTGTGTCTGTGTGGGTTCTGGATTCCTCCCACAGTCCAAAAACCTGCATTTTAGGTTGATTGGACATTCCAAATGGCCCTTAGGAGAGATTGTGTGTGGTTGGACCGTCCAGGGTGTACCCCGCCTTTCGGCCATTGACCACTGGGATAGGTTGCAGTTCCCTCCCGCGACCCCATTAGGGAATAAGTGGTTACAATAATGGATGGATGGATGATATCTCTTATTGATAACTCCAAAGCATCATCCAGTTTGAGTGATGCAGAGAGACAGCCATTCACACTCCTTCACATCAGTGCAAAACAAAGTAGCCGGACAGCATTCACTAACACTTGAAACACACCCGAGCCTCTACAGCATTGACTTAAGAATACGGCTTTAACCAACACTATGAATTGTGTTTCATTTCAATTTTCATAGTTTTTTGTTCCATTGCTGCATTTGATGTTACTCAGGCTGTTTACCTTGATGTAGTCTTTGACTCTCTAGGGCCAGTGCATATTCTCAGGGAGGGACAGCACTAAAAGCCGGGGGTTTTGGGATGCTTTCAAAGCTTCAGTTCAAAATGGTCTAACGAAATGTATAAAGATTTAAGCTTGAGCCAACAAAACAAAGGAATTTTATCTCTTACGCAGAGTCCTGGGGGAAGGTTTGATAATACATTTTGATGTGTGAAATTATTAAGGTATTCTTTCATCAAACAAAATTAGAAATCCAAGGTTATCATTTCTTTTGGGGTATAATATATACTTTGACTTGTCTTCTTTATTGTAATGAGTTAACATACAATGGTTGCTTATGTTTAAATGTCATTTTTGTAGAAAGTGAGTCATTGAGGCCCTGCAAGGATTAGGTTATACTGTTGACCTCAAAAAGAGATGGCTTTTTTGTTAGTCGCACGGTTGTCAAAGTCCTCCCTCTCCTCAAGCTAACAGACTTCATGAATCCTTTCTAGAGCTAGTGCAGCGTACAGGCATCAATGGTGACTAGTGAAAATTTCAGAATATCTCTCATGTATTTATTTGCATGACTGCTGCTACGAATATAGAAATGATGCATGTAAAAGTAAATCATGCAGAGTTTGACCTAATCAAGATGTGCACTATGACACAGAAGCAGCATGTGTCGATTTGTTTCCTTCTTGCAGTCTCTGGAATGTGTGCACATATTGATCAGACAAGGCTGATCATTGATTTTTTTTCCAGGGGTTTAGTCATTATTGCTGTTTCAAAAACTGAGAGTTAAGTAGAGTGGCTATAAAAGCACAATTAGAACAATATACAGCATTAAACCCGGAATTTGACCATGTGAGACGTATTATCTGTGCCATGGGATTTTTCGTGACATGCTAATAAGTATGTTAGTAGAGGAAAATTCAGCAACCGTGGACATGTAGGTCGTATGGACTCTAAGAGTAGCAGTAGATAAGTAAATATGGTATATTGTTGAACTGAATCTCACTACTTTGAGGAGCAATGTTCAGTAATGTTTTAAACTGAGTTTCTCTTTTTTATATCCAGATAAGACTGTCAGTAACTTAGTTTAATTAACAAACTCTGAGCAGTTCTTGGTGACAAAAAGAGAGAGCCCTCGGTCTACTGTTATTAAATTGAGGCATGTGGCATATGGTAATAAAAGCACAATGAGGAAGCACTCGAAGCATGAATAGAGGGGGAAATTATCTTTTTGTCTGTGCTCTGTATCGTTAAATAGTTGTTTATTTCAGTTCATCTGACTGATTTTCAACCGTTCCTGAAAAAGAGGAGCTGAATTTGGCAAGCGGGTGGTAATATATCACAACCCTACCTATCTCTGCCAAAGCAATTGTCAGAACAATCTTAAATTCTGCAAATAGTGCTGTTTAGTATTCTGGAGAACGACCCAGCTGGAAAAACTTTCTATGGCTGAAATGTGCTCTAAGAGGGAAGAAAAACTATTCTCTATTGTTTTTCTCTGCAGCTTTTCGTCTTGTATTTCTGTCACATAAACTACCTCATTAGTAAAACTGTTGTGTGATCCCATCACCAGCAATATTGTTTTAAGATTTTGGCTCATCCAGCACCATACACTGCTAATAGGGCACCATGGCTGTATGAACTGCTTCACATGACATGTGAATGACACATTAATTACACATTAATAAGGAAACCTGACTACAGTCTGGTAAAAACAGGAAGTTAGAACCTTAAATATTAACCCTGTACAGAAACAACATCTTTGAACTGTAAACAGCGATATCAGACCCAGAAACGTTGGTGTTCAATTTCAGAGAGGTCCTGCATATCCAGAATGCCCAATAAATTCAGGACCCCAGAAGCTGCTAAGCCCTTGTAGTCAATCCAGGCTTCGTCTCTCCCCTGACAGTTTCCCCCCCACCCCTCGGTATTCTGCAGCATATCATACATCACTGCAACAAATAGGGCATACATGTGGCAGGTAAAATAAGGATAGATAGGCAGAGGTTACAGACAATACATTATAGGAATAAGTGTCATGACATTGTCCATCTCTGCAGAAGAAACAGGAGTGCGTTCAAAAGTCTTGCAAACACGGTTTCACATTTACATTTTCAGCGACTTATTTAAGGATATCAAACTTGATATTTTCCATGTATTTTCTTTTCTCGTAAGATCAGCATTTTCAGGGATGGCTTGTTTCCAGAAGGTCCACAATGGAGGACACTGTTTTAGCTTATTAACAGTATTGTATTGAAGCTACTGACGGTTAGTGGGGGTTTCTTTTGGCTCAGATTTTCCCCCTGTCTTGAAGGCAGTGATATATAATCCTGAGAACAAATGGTACAGTAGAGCAAGTATAAATAGGTTCTGAGAAATGAGTTACTTTATTGGTAGTATCCTCCTGGCATATCAGATTATTGTATATCACACAAGATTTAAGAATAATCTGCAGGGAGAGACACAACCAGAGCAAAAGTTGGAAATTATTACTAGGCTATTATTAGTGTCCTTATAATTCAAATTGAAGCACATCAAATTGCCGAACCGCACAATGCAGATATGGGGCTATGTCCACGTTTTACTTCTTTTGTTCTCATATCTGCTATCATTTACAAAAACATAAATTCCAAATACAAGAACTACCACTCAGGAAGCCTCGACTACAGCAGAAAGTCATATTAAACCCATGCACAGATCAAAGCATTAAGGGCTTCTATTCATGTCATGCTGTGTTGACTAAGAGCCAACAGTGGAATCAAGGTAGACAATGCGACATTTCCAATTTGGAGCAAACAATGACTTTGAAAAACAGTAAAATTCAGGCAAAGGCAAGTGAATGATGATCAGATGCAAGGGTCTAATTAGCACCCATGTCATGCTGGGATGCCAGAGCTGTGGTTGTTTTGTTTCACAACTGTCAAGAGTGCATATTCTATTGTGTTCTCATTAATGAGATTGGGTTTTTCTCTGTATATCTATGAGGCAGAAATCAGTGTAACAGACAACAGCCGCAGCTTTCATATTGGAGATACTGTGCATTACAGAGGGAGAAATTCTGTTCAAAATTTACACAAGCAGAGGGAAGTTTCTACTTCAGCTGTTGCCTGTCAATGGAGGAAATGACTGTCATTCTCCAGCGATTTAATCTCTGATACAGCATCGTGTATTTATGAAGACATGACACTATGCTGGGCCTGAACTACTTGTTTTTTTGTCAAGTGTGGCATTTGAAGCATAAATGGCAAAAGGGGAAATCATAGTAGGGGAAGAGGTTTTGCAATGAAAGGTGCCAGCAGCATAAAAAAAAACAAAAGACTGGATGAACAAATACAGCTTTCCATGCTACAAAGACCTCTCGCAGGAGCAATATACCTCGCAGGAGCTACAATTATTGAACGGGGCTCAGCACACCACGACCACAGACAAGCAGCTCGCCAATGATCACAGCAACAACTCCCCGCTCTGCATAGCTAAAGGGATGATTAATCTGTTTTACTGAATGCCCTGGAATAGTTTTCCTGTTTCCAACCGTTTCGGTCTGCCTTTTCGCATAGATGATCTTAGATATAGGGCTTTTGTTTATTGAAGCACCTGCTCCCCAGCGCTATCAGACTCATCAAGTGCTGCCTCTGGCTTCCCACCAAGGGATATGTCCACAGCGTGCAGCAAGTGTAGTGATCTGCCAAGTGATTAATTGTTTAATAATTGCTGAGGTTAGTCTGTGCTGCAGTGTGCTCCTGTCAGTCTGCTTTCTGTGAAGTGACATTCTTTGATCCGCAGAAGTAAAAAATGCAATGCTGTGAACACAAATGAAAAAAATCTGAAACAATAATGAAAGCAAGGTGAAATGGAACAATTGATAAAATAAAGAAGAGATGTGCAGCACATTCTGCACGAAACAGCGAATCTGCCAAAAAAGAGAATAAAGAGACACTGGAACAAAAGGTTTTTCTTGAAAAATGATGATGAATTTTAAGCAACACCAAAGCAATTCTTTTTTATTTTTAAAAAAAGCAATGGAATTTTAAACCTGCCAAACCACTATCCACACATCTACTGGATCAAATTTTGAAAGAACACTGTTCCTAACTGATGTTCGATATAGCGTTGCGACAGGTTTCCAGCTTCATTATATCTCATTGATTCAACAATATCTTTCAGCAAACTAATTACGCAGCCCATCAATGCAGTTACCCTGTTGAAGCAAGCTTAGTGCCTTAATGCCCACTTGTCTGCCTGCAGACATGGAAAAGGGACCACACATTTGACCTTATTTTGTCAGGTTTTATCTCTCTTTGTAACTTCTGTTCTTCCCTCTTCTTTAATCCTCTGAATGATGGGAATGAACTCTGTAAACTGAAGTAGTCAATTTTGTATAGATAAAAAAATGACATTAGAATATTTGTCTGTTAAAAAATAGAAAATCTTATAGTTTAATTTCTATCGACAATAACCCAACCCTCCAAAGTTGCTGGAGTTCCCAGACTTTACATGAACAAAGGAGCGGTGGATTGGAGGTCACCTCTCAGCAAGAAAGTTCTTGTGTTGGCACGACCTGTCCGGGTTGAACCCTTCACCTGACAGCATGCTGGGATGGTCTCCAGCCCATCTGTGACCCTGAATAGAATGATGTGGGATGGACAATAAATGCAACAGGAGGCAGTTTTAGGCTTAAAGGACCAGCTCAAAGCGGGGTCACCAAATACTGAGCCCCACTTCAACCACTTTGAATTAGTTTGCCTTGATGTTTTTTATTGTTGTTTTTTTCAGTTGGTTTATCGTTTATTATTTATAAGAATAAATATGCCAAGCACTAGAAAATCAATAGCAGTAAAGTGAAGGGAGATAGTATACAATAGTGTAATTATCCCGTGCTGGAAGACAGGCAGTTAATAAGGATCTGCCTTTCAATGGTTTCATTTGGATGGGATTAAGTCCCACATTTCTCTCAGTCATGGGAGATTTAATCGTAGAGGGAGTTCAACTTCAGGGCTGGAACAAAATCAGACAATGACCAGCCTGGGATTACATTCTGTGAGGTCTGATGTCAGGAGCAAACAGCACTTTGGCTCTATGTGTTTTAAAAGACCAATATAATCTGCATGGGAGTCTTTTGACTGCAGGCGTGGAAAATGCAGCGAGGATGCAAGGGAGCTCTATTCCACAAAGTAGTCTTTGAAAAATGGATATGTGCTGAAACTAATGTGTGCTGTCAGGACGTCTGTTTGTGAATTTGAACCTTTTGCCTCCACCCCAGTCACCATCTGGACATCAGTGGATTATTGTCATAAATAAAAACTTCAGACATATTGTCATGAATATCATGGTTAACAAAAAGAACAATCAGTAACTTTTCATTCATTCATTCATTCATTCACCCACACCACTTATTCCTAGTGAGATTCAGTAAATTTTAAATCCTTCAAATGAATGTTTCTGATAGCAGTGCTTTGAAAAATGAGTATGAATAGTGGTGCTACAAACCTCTTATATTTGTTTTGCAGTGTTGAGCTGGACTTTAAACAACAAGAGGATAAACTCCAGCCCCTGATGAAGAGACTTTGCCCCATAGACAGCCAACAATATCCTGCTCTGCCTTATTCCAATGAAGTGTTCACTTCCACCCCGAAACGCAAATCCAAGACAGAGTCCAAGAAGCACGCTCGCTGGAAACTGTGGTTTCTCTGAATAAATGATGAGGGCCTGGGGGATGGCACAATGACACCCTGGTTATTCTCAAAGTGGTTGCGGAAATATTCAGATGGAGGGGATCGATCCCATGTGAATGGATGACAGAAGCCAGTTGATTTAAGGCTCTGAGCTGAGACTGTCAGGTCAGGTTGGGATCAGCAGAGACATCAAATGTTTTAAATTCAGTCAAATCTTTTTCTGGCATGTTTGCTGGATGGGATCAACACATACCTGCATAAGTAGGTGAGCACCGATATACAATTTTATCCAATATTGTTGTTTAACTCTGTGTAAAGATGGACTTTTTTTATGAACTGGGTACACTTTGTATTTAAATATTTCTGTTGCATCTCACAATGAATACAATGAACTTTTGGTCTTTTCCCCTCAGAGCATATTGCTTGGCAACAAGAGGAGGCGCCCTGTGGAGGGTCTTGTATGACTGAAGTTATAATCTTTGAATGGACATCAGCCCCACCTCCAGCAAAGCACAGACAGTTGAGCATTGAGAGGAAATGTGCAAAAGGCTGAATAACAGTACAGTATATGACCATATCCCAGCACTGTTCTCCTGGCCCAGTACAGTCCTCTCCACTCCCTCCCTTTTTTGCGAATATGCTGCTGTCTTTCTCTTTGACTGAACTTCTGCTATCCTTTTACTCCAAGACCTTTAGACTCTGTTCCTCAATCTCTTTTTCTCTCTGTCAGTCCATTTCTTCAGCTCACTGTGCGGTCAATTTGACAGCCAACTTTGCCTGATTAAATCTGAAGCCTAATCAACTGAGAATATATTTATCTTTTTAACAGAAAAAATTCATTAAGGTCATCCCTGTGAAGCAGATTCAGTATTTAGAAACAAAAAAAGTATTCTTGGTTTAATTTGTTTTTTTTATGTATAATGTTTTGATTACTTATACAGCTAAATATTTATTATATATCAACTTCGAGACACTGAGTGAATATTACGAAAAAGAACTCGATTTATATTTTTTTCTTTTTTTTGTTCAAGAAAAGGTGAAGGCTATTGTGAGGTTTCTGTTTGAATTCACTAAGTTTGCCATGTCAGAGAAGTTGTCATATCAAGTACTGAAACAATTCTATCTCTTTGTGCCATTTTTCATTTCCAGTTAGTACTTCAACAGGAGTTTTTTTTCAGTTAATTTATCTTGCCATTCAATGTTTTATTTACATTCTTCTTTCCCCCCAAAACAAGAGTGAAATGCATCGACATAAGTATCAACTCTCTCTCTCTCTCTCTCTCTCACACACACACATACACACACACAAAAAACAACTGTGCACTGAACTTGCAGGAAGAGCAGAAGGGCTACGCACAGAGTTGAAGGAGTATGACAGTAATCACTCAGCAGAAAAAAAGTCTTGTAGCCACCAGCTCTGGTTTAGTTAGTAATAGTCACCTCTCATGTAGCAATGACTCGAAACTTGTTACAAAAACGATGTTTATTGACTTCGTACAGTAATTTTATAACTGTAGCTCTCAAGTGTTAATTGTACAAGAAATGTCAGGAAAACACTGGCCTCCCATCATTAGATTCCACAATAGATGGCATCATCGGGTCACCAATGTCCATGCAAAGAGCTGTACCTTAAGAAAGTGCAATTTAGTGATTTTGTGCAATATTATGCATTTTTCTACTGTTTCTATGTCACAATTAAAACATTTTGAATTGAAGATTTTCCAATATGCTTCTATGTCTGACTAACACAAGATCAAATAGCATTGTAAAGTGCATGTAGGTGTTTTTGCAATGTAAGCCCAAGGGACATTGTCTGTGTCGGTTCTTACTTACCCGCTCATAATTCCAGGTTCTTGATATTAGTGTCTGATGAGGAATTTCAGAGTTTCATTTTGAGGGCAAAGCATCCAAACACAACCTGAGTAATATCTATGCTGCAGTGAGTAGTGCATAAGTGTTTAACGCAAGAGTAACCAACCAATACACAAACACAAAGCACAACCCCAGAGAGACATATTCCCAGATAAAGACTCAGCAGTTCATCTGCATCTTGGAGATAAGGGACACTGCTTAAAAAAGGTAATCCTTAGCCATTCTGAATGGAAATGACGAATGCTTTGGAAAGAGGAGGGTTATATACTGGATTGACCACCAGTAAACAGATCAATCACATGAGGCTGTCATGACTTCTCAGATCAAGCAATTTACCAACTAACACCATAATTAATTTGACATCTCACAACATAAATCATCTAAAATTGACAGTGACCACCACAACTCATGTGGTATGCAGCTGTCAAAGTAGTAGTCAAAGTTCCAGTGAGGCAACATGGGCTTTTTTTAAAAGTCCAATAAAACCATGGAATCTTCTTTAATAGGCTATATATCCTCAAAACCCCCAACTGCCTTCTTACATAGCTCCCAAGACCATTAAAAAGGTATTCATCACTATTATGTTGAAGCAAAGTCTCCTTTCCACATTTTGCCTCCTTTCAGGCTCCGATAGCAATACATTGACATGCTTCTGGTACTCTTCTGCATTTTATGTTCTGCGTGAAATGTTAATGTCCTAACAAACATGACATAAGTTTGATTATGGAAAACCACTGTCTCACACAAGTGACACTGGACGCGAAAACCATAGTCTGCAAGGCAAAACTAAGCGAAGAAAAGTCTTGCATGAAAGTCAAACCACCTCAAGGACAAAAGACATGTGACACAGGATTTTCCACTACCACCTGCCCTACTTGTAACGACTCGGTCGATTGTTCATTTGACAGTATTTGCTCCGAGTGTCACATATTGCCAGTGAAGGTGTGTCACGGTGTTGACATCAAAGGGCACTTTATGCATATCTTAGAGGCACAAAATGGCAGTATTTAACCTCCTATGATAACAAGTTAGAAAACCAGCAGGTGGCAGTTTGTCTGCATAAAAACTTTGGTGTAAAAATGAACTCAGACTCTTCGTTTAATGCAACAAAAATAAAAGGAAACTGATGTAAGTACTGTGCACGCCATTACTAACAAGGCAAAGAATGTTGAAGCTGAGCTAGGAGTTTGACATACTGCCGCTTAAATCAATTCACTCTCACTTTGTCAATCTTTGGCCTTTGAGCAGTGTAACCGTACCATGGTTTACAGAATATCAGTTGAGGTAAACAGATATGATAGCACAAAAACAGGCTTATGTACAAAAATGATGTAAGGCAAATCTATATTACATAAAAGAGTCCTGGGTATTCATATTAAGTGAAATGCAGGATTTCATTGAAAGAAAACTCAAGGAATACCCTCTCCCCGTCCCAGGTCTGTTTCATAGCAGACTGCTACACATCATTCTTGGGAGTGGAACCAGGACTGAACTTTGGTCTTCTGTGCTGTAGTGAATCAGAGCAAAATCACAAAGGGCTCAGCGATGTTCCTTGTGTGCTCTCTCCAAATGTGATTAATCTCCAACGGGAAGAAGAGAGACAACCCCAAAAAATCCTGCGGGGTGGAAGCAGTTCTAGTCTATCCAACTCGGTGACCTGGCCTCACATCCAACCTTCACCCTTATTGTTGCAACTTTTTTTTTTCTCAACCATTTTTCTTCTCTACCTCAGTTAATGGCTTTTCATCTTATTTCATGCAATTAATTCCAATTCCCTTCTTTGTATAAACTTGTCTGTGTAGACAATTAAGTTGTGTCCTTTCATAAATACTACCTAATGAGCATAGTGCATGCACATATTTGGATGGTGCATTATCATAAACTAAAAACTACATTTCACTTTCTCTTGATGTCTTTGGCCTCTCCAAGATCAGTGCTTTTTTGGTGGTATTACGAACACTCTTGAGGAAAACCATGAGATTAGATCCACCAGTCCCAGTGCAGTTCAGGGCAGTACCCACCCCCCTAAGAGGACAACCCATGGATCCACGGGCATGGTTACCAGGAACGATTACATATTTGGTGACAGTATTGAGGTGATAATTCCGTAAATCCACCAGTGCGGAGACGCAGGAGTTGTACGCCTGGCAGAGGTCAGAGCTAGAGCAAGTGATGATGAAGTCTCGCAGTGAAGGACAGACAGACAGAGTTTCTATCAGCTGACGGTGGGCAGGAGGCATGTAATCTCTCATGCGTGTCAGGAAGGCTCCTAGATAGGATGAATCAATGAAAACAGTGAGGGGAATAAGAATGAAAATAACAGACTTTGCTGGATACATCATCTGTCAGAACAATCAACTTACTGCAAAAAGAAAAGCATGATTTGCTCATGAAAAGCACCTGAGGAAGCTAAAGGTTAAAGGAATTCCTTGTTACCTGTCTCATCCTCGTGGTGAATGCAAAGCAAGGCATCAAAACATTGAATAGCTGAACTCTGGGCAGCACTTCCACCTGACAGCGAAATTGGCTCATTGCTCACACCTTCATACAGCAGCCCCCTTGGAAGCATGGGGTTATCTCGCCATCTGAAACAATTTAAACAAGTTCTATCAATCTCTTATCTAACAAATGAACATGCAAATTAAAAAAAGCACTTTAGTGAAACACACTGAGCAGTAACATATATGAGCAGAACTGGTAGGAGAAGTAGAATATCATTCTGATGTCTTTTGTGATAAATTTTTACCGGATGAAAAAATGTTTCAAACATTACTACGTCAGTATGTGGGACATTGGAATATCCTTAAAAAAATTAAAACAACTTACCCTGACACAAAAATTCTCAATGTTCCATGAAATGCAGTTGGCTCCACGTGATCTGGATAAAGCATGGATTCAGTTACTTTAATTACCTTGCATATCCCAGCCTTCATAAAAGGCACAGCATAAAAATTGACATTGAGGTAGTTTTAGCTTAAAATTACTGTGCATGAGTTGAAATGTTTCCTTCATCTTCTTCAAAGACTGCGTTACTTTGATTAGACCTTTCTGTATGCCGATGAGGTCAGAGATTTTCATGGCGTGCATCACTTCCAGGGCCCCCTGGTCAGAATTGAAAGTTAAAAATCCATTGTTAGGATTCAAAGGAGCAAAACAGCACATGTTTGTGGAGGGTTCACGAGAAAGAGAAGTGAAGCTTTGACAGTCACATGCGAAAGGTCAAACACTTCCCAAATATAGGAAGGAAGGAGGCTAACTGCAGAAAACACTAACCCTTAAGCCTGAACTGGCAGCCATCTCCACCAGTAGTGACACCATGAAAAATCCCCTGCAACTCTCACCGCCAGGAAAAGAAAATATCAACTCCATGTTCCTGTTTTTTTTGGAAAACGAAAATTGAAAAAGGGATGAAGGGAAAATCATGAGATGATCACACAACCAAACCCCATGATATATCAGAAGGAAATAAAATAGAAATTGTTCCTGTTTACTTACCCAATTTCCATATCCCTGAAGCAAAAATGAAACAGAGAGCAGAATTTGATTTATGCCAGAAGAGAAATTAACCATGATATGCAACTTTACCATTCTAATTATAAGCCAAATATGAGGAGAAAAATGTATCCTCACCTTGTGGGATCCTTTAACTTCCAGTTGGCCAAAACTGAATCTGCATAAGTCAAGATGGGTGGCAGGCCAAGCCTATGGGATATTTGCCAGTAAGGCCAGGCCAGTGCTTTTGGGAGAATCTGTCGAACAATCAATATGAAAAGTCCACAACAATATTAACGGCACAACTTTAAGGGTCTTATCTAGAACTTGTGGGTTGGTTTACCATTATCAAAACTGAAATATCTCAACACGATGAAATTCCCAGAGGATCAGTCTGACCCTGATGACCCCCCTGTTTTTCCTTAATAGGAACAAGATGCACAAAGTTTTCCCTTTAATTTTGAAATGACCAAACTACTCTACAACATGGCTTCAACTCTGACTTTTAAACAATCCTTTTAAAGGGCTTCCTGACATATCTCCTTCAGTATTAATTGTATTGACTCTTCTTTATGTATATCATCTCCCATGTGGAGCATTATCATATCAAACAAGAGTTATGTATGGCAGAACAATACTTATACAATCTTTCAATGGAGAGATGAATTCAATGGATATACTCAAACCTGAGCAGGTGCATGCTGTCCTTCTTGCCACACATATCCCATGCTGACGAATCCCAACGCCAGGTGAGCCAGCCTGAGCTCACGGTGGCTGCTGAGAAGCTTGGGGCTCAGAACTGGCATCTGAATTGAGATTAAAATTTAATGTGCAAAGTGTCCAGAAACAGTTAGGACATTCAAAGTGTTTCACAACTGTCGGCTCCACCTGTGATTGCAACTGATTTTTCAGCTAAGCAGGCTCCTCTCATTCTTACCTTATGAACCAGATCCCGGAGTTTACGGGATTCTATCAGGTGTGTGAGATTATTTGCCAGGTCCAACCACACCCGGTAATAATCTGGAAGGCTAGTCTAGAAGATAACAAAGATCGAATAAAATTACTTTTACATAGATTTCATTTAGTGTGTTTTGTGATATTATCCTGTAGAACACAACCATTGATATTAAAATCTCATGTTTTCCATGGTTCCTGACCCTTGGTGTTATTAGTCAAGAATGCAAATAATGTAATAAAGGATATATAAAAGAAAATTTGGGGGAAGAGCCAATCAGCAAACAAGGGATTACAAACAGGGAGAATTTCAACAACATAAACACAAAAGTGAGCCAGAACATTGAAAAAAAGACTGGCTACTTCAGTCTAAAAACTTTTTTTTCTAATTCTTCTCAAATGATCACCTAAAACATCAAAACGCAGGCACATATGCACACATCCAGATTTGACATTTTAAAGTAACCCAGACAGTTATTTGAAACACTTAACAGAAGGCTGAAGAGCTTCCAGCAGATCAATAACCCTCTGTAATGTTACACAAAAACAGCCATACTTATCTGTTTCAGCCCAAAGGGGCTGCACATGCTGCTGAGCAAACACTTAGACAAGAGCAATATAAAAGAAAATAGGCACAGGGGTAAACTAAACTACTTCCACGTGCAATGTGGACATATTGTTATTCACAGAAACAGCAGGAAACATGTACTGAATGAAAAATTAAGACAATGAAACTTACCAGTGGCTCTTCCAGGATAAATCCAAGCTCTTCGGATATATCAAAAGCATCAAAGTCCGCCTGTAGTGTTTCTCTGTAGTTTGTCTCAATACTTTCTACTCTGTACTCCATCGTCATAGTTTGGCTTTGAGGGGGAAATCAGTCTGTGTCGTCTCACTCTCAGATATCAATTGTTAAACTTGCTCTGAGCTTGCCCCCACTGCCTTTGTCACATCCCTTTTTATTGCACTCTCAACTGAAATGAACCAATCAGATTTCTCTTAGAGCAATGTCAGGAGTTCACAGGCCAAAGGATAAACTCGCTGTTGTGTACAGTTTTCAGAATATCTTCCCATTTATTTTAATGAGAGAAAAAGAAAACGAGACAAGCTGCAAAATAATAGAATGTATAGCACTTTATCATGCTTTAAAAGACCGGTGTTTGTGACCCAAGTTTTCCAATAACACTGATCCTGGTCAGTTGTTGAGACAGTTGAGACGCAAAGGTCAATTAAATCAGTAAGAAAAAGGGCTGCCTTCTGAAGACAAAGCAAAAACACTCATTCACTTAAATTTAGCTCTCATATGTAGGATGTGACTTGAATGACCTCCGTGCATCTGTAAGCATTTCAATCAACAACTGGTTCAAGTGCTGTGGGGTTCTGGGACAAGGCACTGAACCCCCTCATCATCATATGCTCATCAGTCTGTGATTTTTGAGGTGACATATATATATATATATATATATATATATATATGTATATATGTATTCAAAATGTTGCTTAAAAAAAGAGGATTGACTAATTAAAGGGAAAGAAAGTGCTCTGTTGATAAAGGATTAAGTTAGGAGTCATAAATATGGATTAGGACTGTCATTTTTCTTCAAAACTTGAAAGTGGAAACTATAAACTTGCATCTGCTATCCTAACTTTTACCCATACAGTACCTCTACACCCCCTCTACTACTCTTTCTGTACTTCCCTTTATCTCTTCGCTGTCACCACTGACTCTGACTAGGGATTTTCCTCTAGAGAGTTTATTGTCAGATTGATGATAACTGTAACATTGTGTCTACTTTGTAAATTGTTTTGGATAAAAGTGACAAACAGTTTGACAACAGTAGCACTTTTGTCCAACATGTCAGTATTGAAGTGCCTCAAATCATTTGATGTTTTGATGGATGTAGACGATCAGAAGTAGTTTTCATTGGAATCCAGTAGAAGGTGCTCTAGAATCAACTTGACCTAGTGAAACCTTTCTGTAGAATAAGCTAATGCCATGTTTAGGAGATGTCTTATCTACAATGACAACAGGTCTGAGGCCGACCGGATAGGACCAGATAGGACATGTTTGGATGGAATGGGAAGGTTACCATTCAAATACAAGGTAAATATTACGTATTCAAAGCAAAGACTCAATTAGTTGTAAAATGCACAGTGCACTTCAATGCATTTTTAAACAAATGCAAAAGATTATGTTAGAATTCTACCTTATTGGAAGGGTTGACAGCTGATTCAACAGAGTGACTGTTTCAGTCAAACGAGGTAAAGTCTTAATCCATATTCAAGACACATAAGCTTCCATGAATACAAATATAAGCATAATTATTCAAATGACTCATTGTACAGTAGTTTAACAAAATTTGTAGGTATTGTATTTTCATTGTCTCACATGTGGGTTTTATTTTACAGTCAGGAACTCATCAAATTCGTATCAGAATCACGTAGATGATTTCAATTATTCATTGGAGCTTTTTAAATTGACGGTGGTAAAATTATCATTTGATTTGTAGTTGCATTTGTTTAGGGTTTTGAAAATCGAAACTGCCACTTCGTGCTTTGTCCCAGGAACATTTTAATATGTATAACGTACACTCAGGGAATTAATCAGCACCTTTAAAAATCAACACCACAAACAGTAATTTTGGATTGCATACAAATTTGCATAAAGTCAGTATCAAACCAAGATAATTTTTCTTCATTTATTGCTTTTGTCTACTTTATATATTTCCTAATTACTGTCCATTTTCACATCACGTTTTGGACTTACAACCATTTTGGAAAGAAAAAAAAGGTTTTGTCTGCCAACAAATTATAAAATGATTAAATTATTAATGAACAATGTGCCTCATTCACCAAATTTGCTGAGGTCAGAACTTTCCAAAGAAAACTATTGGTCATATTCATGAAAGTGTTGGTATATGACAAAATTGTCATAAACTGGAAAAAGGTACCTGCTGTTCCTAATCTGCATAGATTCACCTCAAAATGTCCATGTAAAGGTATGAAAAGGGAAAAGTGTGTGCATACACATCCAGCATCATTTTAAAGTGCCTGGTGTGCTGTTTGATTATGGAAGGAGTGTCTGTATGGATCTGATTGATTAAAGCCTCCTGGTGAGTCTGAAAATTTGTCAATGATGTTATTAACCAGGCCAGGGTATGTCCTCGATCTCCTAATGTAAAAATACTCACCATAAAGATACTCATTACAAAGAGCCATTGTTGAAGAAAATTGTAATTATAGCAATATATGTAGATCACATTTATTTTATGGGCGTCTGACTGGCAAATGAGTTGGACATTCATGGACTCAATTTGGTTACGGTTCGGGTATGCCTGAACATCCAAACCTGCAGATGTGGTGGAACAGGGGCTGGACTGTTTTGTACGGTTTCACAGTGATGGCTTTAAGTATCTGGGAAGGCCAATAAGCTCTTGGCAGCCTAAAACATCCACTAAGGGTTCTCTATCTTCAAATAATTCCATATGTTCTTGAAAGATCTTTTCTCTCTGAAAAGCATTATCTGCAATATTTTCAGCAATGTTAAACATGCATAGTGACACATATGGCTTAGGAAAGAATTTGTTCCTAAGAAATCCTTCAAAATGAGGACCATTAATCTTTAAAGATTGATAAAAGGGGGTATTCATCTTTTTCCCAGGATTTTCAGTTTGCAAGAGCCAAAGGTATAACCCTGAGATGGACATCTGATTTCTAATTCCTCAGTTAGTGTGTATGATTTGCTGTTGTCAGTCCAATATGAGATTCAATTTACAAATGCCTTAAACCTATGTAAAAAAGGCAACTCATGAACTATCCCCCTGTGTTGGTCAGACTTATTGTTTTTTCATATCTGTTTAAGACTAAATATACCCAGTGTTCTAGGCAAACGATTAAAGGACCAGCCAGACTGCTACTACTAAAAAGTTCAAAAGATAGGCTCTGTCATGGTATGGAATTATATCATTGTCAGTGCTGCTGGCAAAACTCAGTAAAGTTCATTTAGATTTAAGATCAATTGATGTAACCATCCATGCATTCTACTTTTAGTGTCAAACACACAGGGACAGTTATTCCTGTGCATGCATGCACATGATGCTTTTTTTTTCTTGTACATTCTGTGTCTGATTTTAACTGTGGATAAAATGAACCACCTAATTACATCGTAATACATTATGCATGATACATGAGTTTGCAACCTACCTTTTCATCCTTTTCATCTTGTCTTCCTCTCAGTTCTTCATCTTTTCTTCCCCTCGTCGTAAACTAGTTTCATGCATTTGGCTTCTTTTGGAGGTCACATTGTCCTCTGCGAGCTGAAGGTGCTGGGTAATTTCTGGGATTTGATCAGGTCTGGAGTTTAGACCCATATCTAAGCTGCTTTGTCAAATGGCTGCACAACTGCAATGCAGGCAGAGCAATAATCTCTTTCTATAGCATGCAAGCTCTCTCTTTCTGGCTCCATTGTCAGCATTCCTAACTGCAATTTCCAGCAATCTCTCAAAACATTTAACCCCGAGAAAACAGCTGTGGGAACCAGCAGGAGTGAGAGAAGAGCAAGATGAGTGAAAGGTGTGGTGCCCAAATTAATTTCGAGACCACTTACCAAGTCATCATACAGGGGCGCACCAGGAGAGTAAATTTACTCTGGCACAGGCAGAAGTGGATAAACTGGTTGAAGGGACAGCAAAATCAGGATTTGGATTTTGTAATACTTCTTGGGGGAAAGAATGACAGTAAAAAAATAACAGAGAGGGTTTTTCTATTTGAAGTAGGTTTGAGTCACAAATCCCTTTTGCTGCAGTGCTTCATTTCTTATATTCTGCTCAGTGTCTGACACTCCTCAAATGTATTCTTCTCTCTTGCACATCCACATTGTCTTAAGGCAAAAGAACAGTGTCCAACTGGCATATCCACTGATGGAAGGAGAATCGCTCGGAGAAAAGCTTCAGTTTACTTTTGAGTATTGTCAATGTATATAGTATGTATAAGAATAGAACTATCAGCACATTGATCTAATCTATTGTGGTGATGCATTTAGAAGAAATCCCTAACTATATATATAGTGTTTGAGTAAGTCACTCATCCTGTTATGTTGTTTGTGCATATTTACAGACACTTTTTTTAAGATCAAATGCTAAGCCAATGCTTTGAACAAAAGCTAAACCTCCAAAAACACAATTGTAGTATATATATACTACAGCATTCTGTTAGGTTAGGTTTTTAATTTTGTGCAATCTGCCTTTGTCAGTTGTTTTGAGTAATACCCCGTGCAAAGTCACAATAGCTTCATGGAAGATGTGTGGATTGATAGGATATTTCTCTACATGTGAAAGAAAGAACTGTGTGAGATGATGCATATTTCATTTATTAAACATGCGCTTGAAGAAGTCTGAGAGTTCATCACTCAAGCAAACTTCATAACTCGTCAGTGCTGTACAAATAAGTCTCTTTTAAAGCAAATCACTCCCACATACTCCTTCACTATGCTGTAAATACGTGAAATGAACATGTTTTATGCCATGCGCTCATTTGCAAAATACTGGCTGCTAATTTGATAAAAGTATGTTTCCTTTTGACCCGTTAGAATTTAAATGCAGCTGTCATCAAACAAGTCTTTTGGAATTTTTCACTGCAATAAAACATAAACATGGACAGATATTTCAAATGGTGACAGGAGAACAGCCTTTTCGCACAAGGCAAAATATATCAATGAACAACAGAACAAGATTTAGACTCGAGGAGGTTATCCATCTGCTTCAGTCCTGTGGTGACAAGAACACAAAATACAAACAACAATCAACAATCTTTCTGAAAGGTAAGCACAGTTCTGGAGCCAGAAGTGTCTGTATCAGA